ATAAAAAATAAACATAAAAAGAAGGAAAATTTGCAAAGAGAAAATTCTAGGTCATTAAACGTCTCTTGTTATCACATTAGTTCAGTAATAACCCACCCAATTAATCTAATTGTGTTTATTAACAGTGATTCATTAACAATAATTTTATATATTGAATGCAGATTTATGCACAGGTATAACTTTATGGAAAATAAATCAGGATGTTTAAATGTACTTTGTTCATAAAGGGAGACTGGGAGTAAATGTTAAATGTTAACAAAACTGGGTATTGGGGTTGTTTATAGCATCTTTTTAGTTATTTTACTTAGTGTCCCTTTCAAACTTTTCAGTAATTAACATGGATTGTTTGTTTGTTTTGTTTTGGTGCTAGAGATTGAACCCAGGGCTTTATGCTTGTTGAACACTCTCTCTACCATTGAATTATACCCCAACCCTTCAATTAATTTTTGTAACTGATAAAATTATATACATTTATTGCATACTGTATCTTGTTTTGAAATATATTTACATTGGGGAATGATTAAATCTAGCTAATTAAAATATACATTATTTCACATATTTTATGCCAAAAACATTTAAAACCTACACTCATAACAATTTTCAATAATATAATACATTCTCATTAACTAAACTTTAAGCCAGTTTGTAGTTATTGCCATACTGGGGATCGAACCCAGGGCCTTGTGAGCTAGGCACACACTCTACCATTGAGCCACACCTCAGCCCTCAAAATAAGTTTTAAGACATTGAGAAAAGCCCAGGTTTTCCGAGTGTCTTAAATTATCATGACACCAAGTCTGTCTACACAAATTTTATCTCCCTATGTTAATCTAATTAACATTGAGGCAATTGGCTAAATTTCTGCATTTTTATCAATCCAATATTTATTGCGTGGTCTGTGTGCATGGACCTGGATGAATTACTCTGTTGGCATGAAGAAAGGGAGAACATGCCTGTGCTTTTAAGAGCTCATATTTGTTTGGAAAATTGAGACATTAATATGTGAAAAGGCAAAGAGATGTCATAGATGAAGAAGAATGAGTTGCCAGAGGAGAGCTGTCAATCAGACACAGCACTTCAGCAGAAAAAGAGATCCCTGTGGGATAGAGTGTTCAGGGAAGAGTCACTGAAGGAATTATCTGATGGGTAGATAAATGGATGGATGGAGAGAGGGAGGCTGGCAATACATAGAGCTAAGGCGGTCTGCCAATCCTGGAGGTACCACACAGCTTTAGTGGAATTGGTTGGAATTGGTTCACAAGTTTGATTTAAATTTGACCTCATGCAAATAAAATAATGCAGAAAATAAAATAATGCAGAGA